GTCACACGACGACCGACTCGTAATAGGGTACGAGTGAGACACTCCCACACATAAAAACTGGAACGACAAGCACCAGATTGTGATATATGCACGAGGAGAGTATGTGAAAAGGGAGGAGGGAAGAAGACGACGACGACGGATGAAAACAGTTGTGAATGGCAGTCTGTGTGTGGATACAGGAGTGAAAATCTGTGATAAAGAAGTACACCGATGATTGAATGTACCTGTGCAGGCCGCTAAATCTTACATGAGATAATCTCGCACATTGAGATGGAAAGTGAATGATCTGAGTGATGTTGGTGGATACCATGAAAAATATGCAAACAATACTGAACTCTTTTATTTTCAAACACACGATGACCAACTAATTGGATTCCTTTTGCGATGGAAACCAAACTGCATTACTTATCCTTTCAAACTTCGAGTGATTTGTAGCACTGATTGATTCCATCATCCCTGGAGTCTGTGTGCTTTTTTGAGCAACCAAGTGAAATTCAATTCGACCGTTGGCAAATGACACTTGTTAGCCGTGCATAGATACCGGACCAGTATAACATCTGAACACGGTGAACAAGTGAATCGGAAAAATCGCTGATCACGTGCGCATGCACTCAATACCATGAAAAACCAATCAAGCAAGGGAATGACCCCCACCCACACAAACACCCGGGGGGGGGGAGNGTCAACTCACTCCAAGATCCTCGGGCGAGCTGCACTCGGATTGAATCCCACGGGAATCTCCGTCAAAGAAGTCATGATCGGTGAGTATGCCCATCGGACAATTGCCTCCGGATCGAGCAGCCCGCACCGACACATGTGTTCTGTGATGATCACAATCATTTGCGGATGATTTGCCCATACAGCCTGAAGAACATGCAGTGCCTCAACCTGGGTCTCCACGGTCGAAGCAATGGTACGAATCACACCGGCGTACCTGCAAATTGCACACAAACACACATGGTAATAGAGTTAGGCCCGGGAGGGGAGTTGGGGTTCGTTGATTTATAGTTAAAGGACAGAACCACGTAAGATGAGGAACAGCAAATACGTAGATTTTCGTAGAGACGTCAGAACCATAAGAATGGTTTGAGAAAATCAAAACAGGTGGTGGTTGTGTTGACCAAAGTTGATCGATTTTGAATATCAACTCGGTAATCTGACCCTATGTAGCTGAAGTTGTACAACGCCTCGTACGCGGCTAGACCGACCGAGCTTAGAATATGTAAGTCACGATGGTCCAAAAACCACTTGTCGACGGATGCCTTTTACCCGCAAATTCAAGGTCTCACAACCGTTAAGCAGGACTGAGTGTACAGTGGCGCGGTATATGCGATTTTTCAACTTCAGTCAAACGTCACTTCGTCTCCACAGGTGTTTTAGTCCTGCTTGAGTCTTGGAAACGGAGGCGCTTGTCTCCTTTGATGCGCTTCCATCGTTGGTCACGCAGCTTT